ATAAGCTATTTTATTTTCTGATAGTTTTACTCCATAAATAAAGATTACATAAAAAAAAGTATACATATTATTATACAAAAGTATTTTATTTCCTTGTTTGTTGTGTGTAATACATAACCAGATTTTGACCAAAGCAGAAATGAACAAAGAGAAGAAATAACTAAATAGCATAGGTAGGAGAAATTGACGTTTTTATATAAGTGGCGAAATCATTTCTAGAAGGTTATAAAAACTGTCTTCATCCATCCGGAGAAAATTAATCATGTCTTTGGAATACAGATCATTTAGTACGTTTATGTGGCTTAATTTTTGTCTCTTTTGGAGCCATTTTTTCACCCAGCAACTCCTCTTTTTCTATTTTCGAATAAATTTACCGAGAGGGCTAATGCCAAACCAATACATTGGTGTTTTAAGAGAGTTGAAGCTATTTTGAAGAACTCTACCGCATATGTGTTCCGCTCCAAGTCCGAACGCGTACTGCTAGGCAGGCCCGTGTGTAGGGTCTGCCCCGATAAAAGCCCCGATTTCTTTCCACCCTAGATCGCCACCGATATCGTCTCGTGTGTAGCCCGTTTTAGCTGGGCTTAGCAACTCAGCTTTAGTTGTTTCTGGGGATGATCGATGTTGCAGAAACATCGATGATGACATCGATGTTGTTATTGACAGATTAACATCGATGTTGTATGTTTATCATGCTCAAAACATCGATGCTGTCCATTAACGATGTTTTTTGTATACATGTGCGATTACCCATTTAATAACCTATATATAGGTTAGAAATAAAAAGTTTGTCATGTTGTTTGTGGTTTATTATTGATGAAATAAAAGTAATAAAAATTTTAGTGTCAGTAATTTAAAAATGGGAATAAGTTAACAAATATCTATATATAGTTCATATAGTCAAATATTTTTTGCCGATCATTACGGATGTAACTATTTTGATTTTTAAATGTTCGATATATTCACAAATCTGATATGAAAAAATTTACCATGGGAACTAATTTATAACTTATACGTAGTTTTTATATCAACTACTTATATCGCGAAAAAAAATACGATTATAGAGAAAAATTAACAAACCACATAAAAACAAAACTTTTCCTTCACCTTTGTTCATAATTTTTTATCAGATAGCCCTAGCAGTAAGTATCCACAGCCGTTTATAAAGTGCACAGTCGCATACCCTATGCAGTGAAATTGTCTATGCTCATGCTCACTCAGTGATCTGCAGCGTGATTAGATTCAATATTTCAATACTTTTTCGGTATATTTTATTGCCTTTTCTGAAAATCAGTCTTTTGTTAGCATATTGTCGGAAGTCGGTATTTTTGGGTATATTTGGATAAAAAGTTATAGCAATACAGGAGCGATCATTTTCGTGAACATTGATGGTCAGGGGATTTCCTAAATTTAGTCTATATTTAACTCTGGAGCAAGAATTACAAATAGTAGTGAATCATCTAAGGTTTTTTTACTAAAACGATTTTCTGTTCTGCACTTGGCTTAATCTTTGAGGGTTTTGTTTCAATAATGCGGGAATTTCCCAAAATTTGTAGTACATTTCTGTCGTCATATATAGAGCGTGTGTTTTTTTGTTTTTATTTTTTTCACGCTATCACTCTGTGAGCTGTTATGCAATCATACTGAAAACATGTCTAGTTTTCAGCAAATTATTTGGCTAAATGGGAACAAATTCTGGAGTTTTCTTTGTGGCTTTCACGCTATAAACACGACGAGTACGCCGCCTTTTGTAAACATACAGTACGAAACTCCAAAGTAGATTAGCATCTATAAAACAACATGCAAATACTGAAAAGCATAAATCGAACTTAAAAAAATATAAAGACAGTCAAAGGTAAATATAACTTGTTATATTAACCTTACCGTACCTATAAAACAACATGCAAATACTGAAAAGCATAAATCGAACTTAAAAAAATATAAAGACAGTCAAAGGTAAGCATAACTTGTTATATTAGCCTTACCGTACCTAAAGTCAGTAAAAAAAAGAAGTCTGGAGATGTTTTATTTAATGGATGGTCATAATTGTATAATATCAGACTTCTCCGCGGCTTGGCCGCATTGGAATATGTGGGAGCATTCAATCGGGATAAAAAGTAGCCTATGCCACTTTCCAGCCTCTGAACTATGCTTATGAAAAAAAATTGATGAATTCGTTGCTTGGTTAAGGCGAAAAAGAAGTACAAATAAACAAATATACTTTCGCATTTAAAATAAATATTAGTAAGCATGTTTTTATTTATCACGTTGATACATTTTTCAAAATGGCACCACTGAAAAAACGAAGTCAAGAAAGCGGAGCAGCCTTTACGCAGTTTTATTTCAGAACACAACATCCCTTTTAGAGCTATGGACCATCCCAGGGATATTCTAGTGAAATGTTTCCCGACTCCGAAATTGTGAAAGAATTTTCCTGCAAGAGAAGCAAAGCTGCCGCTATTACTTATAACGTTTTAGGACCCGAGTTTAAAAAAGATATGATTGATGACATACTTCATACTGCATCTCTGTCACGTAAACCAGTATATTCAATTGTAATTGACGAAAGTACAGATGTCACCACAGTCAAAGTATTGGCGATAGTAATCAAATACTCCCTCTCGCACCTGCAATTCCACTGGTGTTACGGTTGTTCATGGGAAGCGGTAGTCCCTTAACATCAGGTGAACCGTGTGCTCGTGTGCCCCCTCTTTTATAAAAAAAAAACTTCAAACGCACAGTACAAACCAAATTCCTTGATTTAGTTGATTTAAATGGTGGGACCGTAGATCATTTAATTGATACTATGTCATCAAGGTTATCAGAATTAGGTTTATATAAAAAGCGTGATGGGGTTCGCTGCTGATACTACGAATGTTATGTTCGGTCAACACTCTGGCATTGTTGCAAAAATTAAAGAAGTGAACCCAAAGTGCTTTTTAATAAAATGTGTTTGTCACTCTGCAGAATTATGTGTCAGCCATACTTGAAAAATACTGCCTAGAAATTTGAAACAGATAGTAAAAGGAGTATATGGATTTTTTTCTCAAAGCAGCAAGAGTCAAAAGGAATATGTTGAGTTCAAAATATTCACTGACACTGAAAACATAGACTATTGCGTCATTATAATATAAGGTGTTCGGTCATTGGTTCATGCTTGAGTTAGTAGAATAATTGAGCAATGAAGGGAACTGCAGTTATTCTTTCAAGGCCAACATTTAAGTGATCGCATTATGTTGTCAGAATTTTCGTATCATTCTTTTACTAATGATATAAACAAATAGTATTTTTACTTTTTAGACTACATTTTGTCGATTGTAAACAAATTTAACTTAATTTTTTAAGGTAGCTATCCGTGCATTGAAAGATTACATCCAGTATGTACATGTCGATTTTGGGTTGCTTTACGAAAACAAGTTAAATAAAAAGCACGAACAATGTATTTACATTAGACCCAAAGTCTAGTGTGAATTATTTGCCATTAAATGATATGTACTTAGGGATCCAAGTGGGTCAAGAATTAATTAAACACAGGGGAAATATAAACATGAAAGAACAAATTGCTGATTTTTTCAAAAGGTGCCAATCTTTTTAATTGAGTCGATTGTAATCACCTTTTGAAAATCAAATTTTCCGAGAACTGCTTTACCCTCACACTGCCGTGAATAAAGAATTTAGCAGTTTAAGAAATATAATAGAAACTTTCCCATGCAAGTACAGCCAGAACAAATGCAGTTAATTGAAGAAAAATATAGAACACTTAAACTTGATCGCGATATAAGTAATCTATTACAATCTTCGAGTACTGGCTTACCCCTTTCTTATGAACAATTTTGGATTGAAGTTGGGTAAATTTCTAACAGTGAAGGTACTTTAAAATACAAGAATATCTGTAGTTTCGGTAAATCTTTGTTATGTATACCAGTATCGAATGCTGCATGCGAGCGCAGATTTTCACAGATAAATTTATAAAAACGGAACAAAGAAACAGATTTATAAATAAAAATGTATCTGCAATTTTAAAAACACAGCAGGGTCTAAAAGATGAAGGAGGTCCTATCAATTTTAATTCCTCAAATAGAATGTTAAAATACAATTCTAACATTTATTGTGATAATGACTGAATAAAACATATTTTGAAAATCAATATTTTTATTAGTATATTTCCCTGAGTAAGTTGGTATATTTCAGTGTTTTTCCAAGCTACTTCGGTTTTTCTGTAAAATTTTATTTGGTCACACTGGTGATCTGTTTTCATAGCCTTCAAGTTCAAGCAAACAATAAACTCGATAAGATAAGCCCAAAATGCAGCTAAATATAATAGAATTTTGTAGCTACTTACATATTGTTTCAAAATTATGTGGGTATAGACAGCAAGGGAAAAACAATTCATTTGTATATCAATTTACGTAGGATAGTTATTAGGCGATAACTGACAATGAGACCGCAGAATAACAAAGCGAAGCAGTGATAACTGATAACTGTAACATTAGGGTGGTTCATTTGACAGTTAAGTTTGACACACCGTAATGATATTTTTAGGTGATTGATGCGTTAAGTAATTCTGACTTATTCAAAATTTTAAAACTTTAATAGGAGATGCAAAATCTAGTTGGGATAGATTTCGCGGGTTCGCGTTCTTCACTAGTTCCTTTTAATCAATTACGGGTTCATTGTAATCGATGTTTCGATGTTTGACATGTGGCAACATCGATGTTTAAATTTTTAACATCGATGATCATCGAACATCCCTAATTGATTCAAAACATTTTGTAACGAACAAGGCGTACCGAAAAGAAAAAGGATTCAAGAGAACAAACAAACCCTGTACTTATTACCTACATTGTTTTATTATTCCGTGAAACAATTAATTAAGAAGTGTTAGCATAAAACAGGGAAAAGTTTAAAGAACGAACGACTTAATAGTTTTTCGTATCTTTAGAAGATTTTCGTTGGTTTTTATTTTATTGCACTTTAGCAGAAAACATTGGATTTTTAAAATGGATAATGCATTAACACCTAAAAAAATAAAGAGGCTATTACAATACGCTGAAGACAAGTCTTTTAGCGCCAAAAAGCCATTGCCCCCCAGAAAAGAGGAAATGAAACGGTAAGTATTAAAATATATTATTCAAAATGCGTAAGATAACTCATAATACTTGATTATAACTTAGTATATACTTTGTTTCATTAGCTCGGATGCGCAAGGAGGGATGTCGAACAACTCTAATACTAATTTGGAGTGTTCGTCTGGAATTCTGGACTTAGAAAGAGTTGAGGGTAAGTTAACATACAATTTTGTAAAAAAATTATAATTTTAAATAGAAAATAAATTTATTAAAGTTTTTATATTTTAGGGTTTGGAGAGTCTTCTATTGGAGCCATGTCCTTAAGAAAATCTGTAAGCATACCTATTTATAATATGGTCATTATATATTGACAAGCTAAAAGTTTTTAGAATTTATTGTTTTTGACTTTTAGTTTTAAGTGTTTCATATACAATGACTTTGGCTCCCGCTTTGTGTTTTAAAAGTGAAGTGACAAACATTCTTAGAATCTACTTGATTATAAGTGGCCACTGTAACCCATGAATCTGTAGTGGCGGTGTAAGAATATCCACTATGTAAATGCTTATATGTGGTAGAACCAAGATGCAGATATATAATGGTTGTGGCACGAATGGGACGGCTCGACCGGGTAAGGACTAAGCTCTCACAGAATACCAGCGTCAAATAGCAGCTTAATACTGCTGTGTTTCATATGGTGAGTGTAGAGATCTGGGAACCCTTTTCCACTGGAAAACAGGCATTCCATCTTAGTCCTCATGGGTGACAACACATCTACATTTTGATTCTTAATCGAGGATACATATAGATGTCTATGGGCCACAGCATCCACTTACCATCAGGTGGACTATGTGCTCGATGTCACCCTTATTCTATAAAATAAAAAAATTGGATTTTTCACCATTTATGGGTCTGTGGGAATGGGTTAGTACCGCTGTCACAAGGCCAGTATTTAAGTAAAAGCTTAATGCTGTTATGTGTCATAATATGGTGAGTGATGGGAATCAGATACCTTTTCACAAGGCATTCCATCTAAGCCACATATCATCAAACTTATTTCTTTTACCGTCCACAAAACGCCACCTTTTAAAATCAATTATTTTTCAGCACCCCCAGTTTTTTATACACTCCTAAAACTTAAAAAACGAGTGTGCTTTTGACCACACAACTGAAGTAAAACTTATTATTCACCCAAAAATTCACAAAACATGAACTTTAAAATGAATTTACAATTTTATTCACTTTAAACATAGAATATTTAATGTATTGAACAAAATTTTAATTCATAAACTTATTCAAAACGAATAAAAATTACAAAAAATTACTGGCTATGAGGGAAAGAAAATGTGCGTGCGCACTCTTGCTTATATCCCCCACTCAACTCCCGTTCGCCTCACCCGATCACACTTTTCGTAAAGCTTTTGTCACACATTCGCCAGCTTACTTCCCAAGTCAAGTGTGTGTAAAGTTTCACAACTTCATTACTTTAATTAATTTAGTTATGGTGTGCTATATTAGTTGGTTCTGGTTTTTAAACTTATATTCTAAACTTGACATTATTACCAGTGAGAGCAATTAAAATGCAACATTATAAAATTAAGAATACATTTTAATCAAATTAAAAGAAACAATGTACTATATAGGTAATCAATTTTAGTTTTATAAGTAATCTAATGAGATGGACGAATTTGATGATTTTTAACAAGTTTGTTGATATCAGGTTCAATTTTACTCAAAAACAGTCGTAAGTCACCATGTTCGGTAACTTGCAAACAATTACTTTTTTTAGTAAGCTGCATTGTCACAGCGCTAAATCCACATTCACACAATATGACAATGGGAATATGGGATATATATCTATTTGAATGCAATCAAAAATTGTTGAACGATCAACCATAATCCGGGGTACAACTGCAGGACTTCAATATTTTATATAAACGTAAAATCTCAGGAAGGGTAGTAAAGTCGCCGCTGCCTATTTTGATTTTAAGAAGGTGTTTGACCTTGTTGATAATGATATCCTTTTATTGAAATTCGCAATGCTTGAATTCTCTACACCACTTTTAAAATTTATGGCAGATTATCTTAGAGACCGAAAGCAATTTGTTAAGCTAAGAGGTTATATTTCTCAAGAATATTACACACGCTCGGGTGTGAGTCAAGGTAGTATGCTCGGTCCAACTCTATTTCTAATAATGATTAACGATGTGCCTAGTAATATCTCAAGGGCAAAATGTTTAATGTTCACTGATGATATAAAACTTTTCCATGCAGTGACCGGAGCTGAGGATTGTATGGCATTACAGCGCGACATTGACGCAGTGGTTGAATGGAGTGTAAAAAACAAATTGCCCCTTAATAATTCAAAGTGTAAGTTTACTCTAACTTTTTCTCGGTCACGCAATCCAATCACAACGACATACCAGCTAGCAGGCACTCCATTACGACGTGTCTATACAATTCGCGGACTAGATTAGCCTAATCATGGATAGTAAATTGAATTTCCATGAACATATTATTAAAACGTGCAAAGAAGCGAATAAAAGTCTAGGTTTCATAATTAGAACTTCGCATCAGTTTAAAAATGTCCGTGTAATAAAACTCCTGTATAATGCCTACGTGCGAAGTAAGCTAGAGTATAATGCCTTAGTATGGAACCCCCGAGAAACCATGTAAAACCATGTAAACCAAATACAATGATGGTGGAAAAAATCCAACGTATGTTAGCCAGATATCTTTATAAACGCCAGTATGGATACTACCCATTTCTATATCCGTCAATATTTGTATCGGGCATGGTTGGTCTGGATACCCTACAGTGTAGGCGGGAACTTATGCATATAATGCATTATTATTTGTTGTTAAGTAACAAAGTAAATAATCCTGCAGTTCGTGAGACCATACATCTTTATGTACCGGACCATTATGTGCAAGGTGTTGGTAGACGAAAACGTAGACTCCTCTCCTGTCCGCGTACGTGGCGCTCCCCACACGCAGATAACAGTCCCACTTCCAGAGCCGTTAGACTAATAAACTGTTTTCTCATGGCCAATCCAGACGTAGATATATTTTTTGACAAACCCAATGCAATGTATAAAAATGTATTAATATTCTTAAACAACTTTGTAAGATAGTAGAATAGTAGTATATGTTTAGGTAATTAAGTTTAATTTATGATACAGTAAATAGATCTCATTATACTGTTGTGGCTGTAATTTATATTGTGTATGGAAATTTAATAATTGGTGATTTTTTTTTGTTGTGTATTTTATCTTACTTTGTAAATTTAGTATAGATATAAGCGATTTGGTTGTATATACTGTAAGCTTATATTTTATCAATAAATGAATATGAATATGAAATATAATAACTTAACCTTCCAATGTATTAAAACTGCATAAAAATTTATCAAGTAACTTAAAAGTACACACTGATAATCACTGATAAACGGTTAACGGTATAAAATATTTAGAAAGGAAAAATATAGAGAAGGTGTAAATAAATATTCAATGAAAAATCACATTTTAAGCTTAACATAACAAATTATCGATATAAAATAGTAGTGTCAAGTCACTGATTCGCGCTCGTCTCCTGCAGCCTTGTTCTTGGAAATTTACGTACGTGACAATATTGTTTTTTGCCCATACTATAAATCCATCACTGCTTTTAGTTCTCATACTCGTAGACATGAATGAGCTTAAGAATCAACGAATATTGAAATGTGAAATCAGTTACATTTACGGAGACAATCGTAGTACTGGAGGTGAATAATTTTATTTAAGTATATATCATTAACAACATTATTTAAAACGCTTAGTACTTATTTATAAAATGTTATTCCTTTGTTTAAAAATTTGCAAGTTGTGGAAGAATTTCGGCAGTCGTTGCTTCGAAACTTACGTTCTGCATCCAAAACAACACTGGTGATTGAAACAAACGCTCCTCACGCGCTTGTGGCCTACGAGTCACATGTGGGGTGATAAGGTCACCCGCTTTTATGACTTCTATTGTCTTATTATTTAGATTTCTGGGGCTTCATCGCTTCGTAATAAAATTTTCTTGAAAAAAGAAGACGCAAAGGCAAAGATGGATTTGTCGAATTTTCTATGAACCCATATTTAATATATTCTGCACTATATTGCCGTCTCTTCTTTTTTGCTTCCGATGTGGCTTTGCTTTTACAAATATGTAAATAAAGTGTTGAACTTAAATACTCGTTTAAAGATGGCGCGCGAAACTTTTTGCTGATTTTAATGCTGCAAACAGGAATAAGACAAACATGCACAAACTCGTTTATCTCTTTCCACGAAAGTATTAATGAACCAGCCGATTACTACCGGATTGCACCAATAGCGTTATTCATCAAAACTTGTTACAACTTGATTGCGTACAGCGTACGAGTTATCCTACGAAATCTATGTTAAGTATTTCTAGTTTATATATCACCATATAGGGCAGAAATATAAACTAATTATTCCATATTGAGAAGTAGGTAGATTTTGGTTATAGTAAATTTCAAAATATAAAGTATCTAAATGAAATTACAATTCAACCATCACCCCCATAAACCACGCCAACATCCCCCATTTATTTCTGGACCCCTTAACGCCCCCCTCAAGGTCTCCAACGCCCACAGAGACTGATATAAGCCATCAGGGGTGATAAACACACCTGCATTTTGATTTTTAATAGAGAATAGATGTAAGTTTTCATGGGCCGAAGTATCCACTTAATATCAGGTGGACTGTAGCTTTTGTCACTCTTATAAAGAAATATCTTACAATTAGTGTTTTTTTTTCCAGACTGCTTTTAATCCCGTGGAAATGACTGGAAGATCAACAGGTACTGAGGACATAAAGTCACACACTATTGACTTAGGTCCAGCTAAGATTGAGGACCTATTGGAGGGGTATGGGCGACATTCATTTGCTCTGGAAAGTCTTACAAGTAATTTAAACAAACAGACTTTGGAAGTTAATGACATTATGAGGCATTCAATTGCAACCAATTATTCATTTCATTCTAAGGTGAGCAAATTATACAATTTTAAGTTATATTGTTTAGTGTATATAACTCTCTTGTCTTGAAGACTGTCTGGACAAGTATTATCCTCTTATCTCTTTCTCATACAATATTTAGTATATATTATGTAGCTAGAAGAACATTCGCATAAACCTGTAATTGTTAAGTTAACTGGAGATCCACCATGAAGTGGCTATCCGCTATCTTCTCACATGTGTTGTTAGAGGGGAAGGGGAGAAACTGAAACAGTAGGTGGGCAGCAGCATCTTCCTGATAACTGTAAAATAAACAGAATGCAGTAATGATTTTTCTCACTTCTCTAAAACTTTTATTTAATTTAGAATACAAAATACTTATTTAAAAATATGCTTTACCCACTGCTTGAGGAAAAAAAACGTCTGTCCTAGGAAGAACTAGCCAAAATCCTAGTGGGACTTTTTAAAAAATATATGTTTGTTATTTGCATACAGAACCAATGAATGCAAAGACTGCAATTGAGTATTTTAGTGTGGTGCTCTGTAAACAGATGTATTGTGGAATGAAATTTTTGTTATATCTCTTACAGAGGGACTTAACAGCTGATGAAGTGTCTTTTGTCATCAGGCAAGCGCCTTTGCCAGTGCAACAAAGCACACAGGTGGACATCACGAAGGAAAATGTTTTGTAAGTATTACTATAATATTTTTTGTAAATACTACAGGGTGTTAGTGTAATCACCGTTATCCTTGTAATCAGTGGTTTGATTTCACTTATAGAACGTAAATTCAATGAAAAATAAAATTTTTTTTAGTAAAATCTCAATTTTTCCTTAATTCCTCAATTTTTGCCTGTCCTAAGCCAGGATGAAATTATGAAGGAAAAGTCACATCACAGGTTATGTGTACCTATTGTGTTTTTATTGGAATGTTGTGTAGCTAGCGCGGGCGGTGATCTTTACAGTGATTACGTCAGTTACAGTGAATTTACGGACGGTGTCGTACAGAAACTTTTTAAATTTTATGAAAAAAGTAGCAGTTTTTTTTAAATATGGTTTTAGTGACAACGGTGTTACACCTACACCTTGTATATCAGATAATTAACAATTATACTTATTTTTTCTTTATTAGTCATTTCATTGTACTGTTGAAATAATTTAGATGTCTTAATTGTATGAATTATTTACCATAATCACAACATGGCAGGGCAGTTTGGTGATTACAGTATCTTTTATATATTCTTTACAGTCTTTACCTTAGATTGTTTTTCTTTGCCAATGAGCATGTTATGTATCTGCCCTAAAAAATAAAAGGCTAACATGCATTTATATCATAAGTAGAACAATTTGGAGAGAATCGCATTAAAAAATTGAGGTTGAATAGTTTCCGGTACTCATGCGCTGATTTCTCCTGAACTAATGCTATAACTTTACACGAAAATTATATTATTTTAAATTGTATTCATGAAATGTTGTTAGTTCTTTTCATTAATTGTATTATTGATTTAACACAAGTTTTTTTTTTATAAATTACAGGGAAGGTAATTCAAATATGTCTGTGGGGTCTTATTTTGAAAATAGATGCCCAGAATTTTCGAGGCTGCTTGTAAAAATTGAAAGTCCAGACAGGCCCGTGAGGCCTAGTATTAGTGAAGGTAAGGTTTTAATTTTTAACAAACTTCAAAAAAAAATCTCAATGTGGCTGTTTTTTTGTATTATACAGGTTGTTAGTGTGAACACCGTTATCCTTGAAATCAGTGGTTTGGTTTCACTTATATGTATACGCAATCTTCGCCAAGTATGAACTGGTTTTAAATATGTTTTTTTAATAGGATAGGGTGACAAACGAGCACACAGTCCGCCTGATGGTAAGTGGTTGCTGCGGCCCATAGACATCTACATCTATCCTCGATTATAAATCAAAATGCAGATGCGTTGTCACCCGTGAGGACTAAGATGGAATGCCTCGTTTCCAGTAAAAAGGGTCTCCGGTTCTCTACACTCACCATACGAAACACAGCAGCATTAAGCTACTATTTCACGCTGGTATTCTGTGAGAGTGTGGTCCTTCCCCGGTCGAGCCGACCAATTGGTGCTACAACTATACTACTAATATAACTGTAGCTTGGCTATTTTTTATAAAATTATATTTTATAATATTATAAAAACCTCTGAATATGGAGTGTAGGGACAGAAATTTTATAATTTTTCCCTTTTTTTTTTGCATAGAAACGTGACTAAACATGGACAAAATACCAAATTTCCTTTATTACAAGTAATATTCAACCTTATATTATATTGTTTTAACCCTTAATTGGTATATATTTTTATTATATATTATTAACCACGTAAATGTTATACATGGGTCTAACTTGACGGATTTATACTCGTATTAGATGGTGTATGTATTGTATATGCTAATTTTTATGAATTATTTTTTTTATACACTTATTTATCTTACTATTTATATAAATTAAGTTTGAAATTATTTGATTATAATGTTAATCACACAAATGTTCAAGAAGACACACTTTTGTTCTTTAAAAAAACATAGACAATTTAATTTTTTTCCAAATTTAGTCTCTTGAACTTAAAATAATTCCTCTACAAAACTAAAATTAAGACTTGGCAAAATAAAATTATAATGATTTCTTAAATTTACGCGAACACTACACATTGAATAAAACTAAATTTACGGATTTTATCGCGTTTACTTCACTACTTTTACTTATTTTTTTTTTAATTCCCGACGTTTCGGGTGCTTTACAGCAACCATGGTCACGGGGAGGACTTAAAAAAAATAAGTCGGGAATTAAAAAAAAATAAGTAAAAGTAGTGAAATAAACGCGATAAAATCCGTAAATTTAGTTTTTTCAAAATAAAATTACTTAATTTTTCTTATTATAAACAAAAACAAAAAAAATAACAATTATCATTTCTGGTCCAATTTCTAACTAAAATTACTGCAATATTCTTGTGTTAGAAAACAATATTTATGAAATAAATAAAAAATATAAAGTTATATATAATTTTGTTGCCTTATTGCAAGCATAATACAGTGGACTTTCCCTACATATGTACCACATTTTGAGCAAATAATGTAAGTTTTATTCTTCCGCTTTCGAAGGACATATCTATAACTGAAAACGTTTTTGTTTTCTGTCTCGCACCACTAACTGGATCTGATATGTATCTCCATAGTTCGAGGGCAGGTCTGTTATATTTTTGTTGATAAATTGTAGGATTTTTCCAGTTAATTCGTCAGAAAAGCATTGCAGTGGAGATGTCGGCTTGTTTCGACGTGCTTCCCCTGCCAAACCAGGTAATTGGGTAATAATGTTTTCACGTCGAGTTCACGAAGAAGATGGAGGCGTCTTCGAACATTTAAACTGGTTACGTCCGTAACAGTAACCTCTAGATGGACCACGTGATCGTGATGGTGATGGTGGTGGTAGTGGAGTGGTTCATCATGAATGAGCTCATCATTTCGTGTAACAATCTCAGTAAAAATTCTCGCAGTGTCGAAACGTGAGTTATCACGTTATTCTGCAATTCACTTATTTCAGACACTGAGTGGTGATTATTGAACATATTGTTCGGAACAGTTGTCGCCATAGTGGGAGTCACTATCACACTCATCAAGACACCGTAATATTCGTTCTTTTTCATTTTCCGCCATTTTAAACTTCGCCTCTAAAACAAAAAGTTACACTTAACATATACACGGGTCAAATCTGACCCGAGGGCGTAGGTAATTCAGAAAATTCGCGCCGAAACTAGATTCCGTCCTCCATGTTGGCACTACTCTGGAGGCGTGAGAGCAAAAGTGCGGTGATCTTGTTCTTCAAGAAAGGCGACAACGCTCTATTGAAGAACTACAGACCGATTCTCTTCTGAGCCGCGTCTACGTGCCTTTTTTCGAGAGTCATTACGAATCGTCTCGCACGCAGACTCGACAACTTCCAGCCTCCCGAACAAGCCGGTTTCCGAAAAGGCTTTAGCACCATAGACCACATACATACCCTTCGGCAAATTGTACAGAAGTTCGAAGAGTACAATCTGCCACTTTGTCTTGCGTAGGTGGACTATGAGCCTTTGATTCCGTCGAAATTTGGGCGGTGCTGCAGCCCCTTCAGCGGTGGTGTGTCGATATATCGAAGTGCTGAAGTGTTTGTACAGTAAGGCTACGATGGCTATCCGAGTACAGAACCTACGAAACCTATTCAACTGCGAGAGGTGTAAAACAGGGTGGCGTAATATCTCCGAAATTCTTCACTACTGCATTGGAAGACGTTTTCAAGCTACTGGACTGAAAAGGATACTGTATTAACGTCAATGGCGAGTACATCACTCACCTTCGACTTGCCGACGATATAGTCCTTATGGCAGAATCGCTGGAGGACCTAAGCACTATGCTCAATGACCTCAATGGTGTCTCCCAACGGATAGGTCTTAAGATGAACATGGACAAAACAAAGATCATGTTTAATGTCCATGTCACACCTATGCCGGTAGTTGTTGGGAGCACTATGCTCGAAGTTGTTGACGAGTACGTTTACCTGGGACAAATAGTCCGACTAGGTAAGTCCAACTTCGGCCGAGAGAGGTCAATCGACGGATTCAACTCGGCTGGGCAGCGTTCGGGAAATTACGACACATCTTCTCGTCAGGTATACCTCAATCTCTGAAAACCTTT